TGGATTGGCCATGATAAATTGCCCATGGTGTTCGGGGATGTGTAAGTTAGATGGGTTATAGGGGGATGGGTCTGAGTGAGATGCTCTGAGGGTCGATGTGGACTTGTTAGGCCGAAGGGCCTGTTTCCACAATGTAGGGATTCTATGATTCTCTGATTACCAATGTCCTCTACAGCTGCAACATGACATCCCAACTCCTATAATCAATATTCCGACCAATGAAAGCAAGCGTGCCAAATGCCTTCTGCACCACCCTGTCTACCTATGACTCCACTTTCAAGGTACTACGCACCCTTCTACCCTACATTTCTTTGTTCATAAATACTCCCAGGGCCCTACCATGAACTGTATAGGTCCTGCCCTTGTTTGACAACTTGAACCTACGCCTTCTAGTTTTGGACTCCCTGCCCTAGGGAAAAGACCTTGGCCATTCACCTTATCTGTGACCCTCATAGTTTTATAAACATCTATAAGATCATCCCTCAGCCTCCGACACTCCAGAGAAAATAATCCCAGCCTCTCCTTATAATTCAAACTCTCCAGTCCAGGCAGCATCCTTATTAATCTTTTCTGCACCTTTTGAGTTTAACAACAACCTTCCTATTGCAGAATTGTACACAGTATTCTAAAAGTGACCTAACCAGTGTCATGTACTGCAACATGACTTCCCATCTCATATCAGTGCTCTGACCAATGAAGGCCAAATACCGCCGCCTTCACCCTTCTACTTGCCAAGCCACTTTCAAGTAATTGTATACCTGCACCCCTAGGTCTCTCTGTTCAACACCACTCCCCAGGGCCCTAACATTAACTGTGTAAGTCCTGTCCTGCTTTGTCTTACCAAATGCAACACCTTACATTTATCCAAATTGAACTCTATCTGCCACTTCTCAGCCCATTGCTCCATGATCAAGATTTTGTTGTACTCGTAGGTAACCTCCTTCACTGTCTACTGTACCACCAATTTTGGTATCGTCCACAAATTTATTAACCATCCTCCTATATTCCCATCGAAATCATTTATTTAAATGACGAACAATGGTGCACCCCAGCACCAATCCAGTCTGAATAACAACCCTCTGTCACCACCCACTGTCTCCCACTGTCAAGCCAGTTTTGTATCGAATTGGCAAAATCTCCCTGGATCCCATTTAATCTAACCAGATCACCTGCAAAACGTTGTCAAAGGTAGATGAAGTAGTCCTCGGTGACACAGGAGACTTTAAAGATGAGAATTGAGGATGGGAACAGGAGTGAGTTGGGGCATGGGATTAAGAGGGGCTGATGGTGTGAGTGTAAGTGAAGGTGGGAATAGAGGAAAGAGGGGCAACAGGAAGGTCCAGTGACCCCATACACTCTGGGGAAACATCAGAAAATGTCCTGTTGGATGTACAGTGCACAGAACAGGATATCTCTGACAACTGACCTTGTTATGAACATTGCAACATTAAACATGCATTGTCCTTGTTTTATGAATGATGTTAAAGTGAAACAATGTTAAGCAAGTCAATGTTAAGCAGGTCTTCTTTACTTTCAACTGCATCCTTTCAACTGCATTTACAGTTTTTCTCATACTCCTTGCCTTGAATTCCCCATTGTATTTATTAATGACTTTGTTACATCCTTATAAAATTTGATAACTTTTAACTTCAACTATAACAGGAAATTCATATTTTAGCATATGATGGTTAAGATCTATTTATGTGTTTTGCTGTACAAATAACTAAAAGCACCACTGGCTAATCATTACTTCTGTTGGCAACGTATATTTAAATTTAACTTTGTAGTACAAATGAGAAAAAGCATTTTTATGTTTCACTGTCCTTTGAGTTAACAGTAAGTTCTCCTAGAGCCATTTCTTCGTGGTGAGAGTTTTTCTGGAGATTCTCTTGCATAAGCTAGGTGAATTTTAACATCTGAAATTTAGTTTTTTTTTCCAATTCAAGCAGAAACTTTCCACCTGCACATCTGCATAACGACCACAGAGACTTTGGGTTCTAATTGCAGTCTATCTCTGTCTCTCAGATCCTAGTCATCTAACTTTTTCTGATATTCAGTGATATTTTAGGAAACGCTGTCACCTGATCTGATAATGGGTTTCTCTCACTCTCTTAAAACTCATATCCTTGGCATCGTGAATCTCATACGTAGCCATTTACAACTTGACGTTCTTATTATCTTCCTAGGACTTTGGAAATATTATAAGTCAAGCCACTGTACGCACAGATGCTGATGTCATTGCTTTCAGCTGTGGACACATTTCACATTCTTCCGAGCATTGCAATCTGGGCCTCCCTTTAATCTATAATAGCTACATCACTCAGACCTGTTATCAGGCAAACTTCGGAACAGGTGGCGTGACAATCTTCATTTTACCCTAAATTGATAGGTTTATAAATTAATAGACACACTCCCAAAAGATAACCTTATAAACCTTATAACCATATAATCATTTGTTACAACCTAAAATGAGACTATTTGGCTCGTATCCATCTTGTATTGATATTTATGTAAGAACAGGTTTAACAATGAAATCAGTACAATCAGCCCATAGTCTGAGTGTTAACATTCTTTGAATTTCTATTTAATTAACTACTCTAAGTTGTTATAATTCACACTGCATTTTTATAAGGCATAACCAACTAAATTATGTGGAGCTATATTGTATGATCTATAAATCATTTGGACTGATCTGGTATCTGACAAAATTAATTTTGCTCAACAGATCTGTCCATGTCTCAGTTATAAATTGCATTTCAGTTATTTTCAACTTTTTAAGGACCAATTGTCCCAGATTGTGGATGCTGGGTTAGTTAGAGCTTTCAAGGAAGATCAGTTGATTTCAGTTAGGCATTTGTACCAGGAAACATGGAGTTAAGGTGGATGAATGAAGTTTAACTGCAGATCAGCGTTTTTGTTTTCATTTGTTCATAGGATGTGGGTTTTACTGTCAAGTCTGGTATTTGTTGTCTATCCCTAATTGTTCTTGGGAAGATGATGGATCATATTCCATGTAGTGCTCATGTTTACGGTGCTGTTCAGAAAGGAATAGTTCACTGGCTGGCTGTACTGTGTATGTTTACATAGCCTTTAATCAATTTAACCATGATACAGATGTCATAAGTGGTTTTAAAATTTGCATGATTTTTTTTACTTACCTGTAGAAAATATTTAGAAAATAAGTACATGGTTTGAGCTGTACTTGTATTCACAATGCTCTCAGATGCACTATTTTATAATAATGGGAGTGTTGCACCGTAGAAAGCGCCATGTTATTTTATTGCTGTAGTGTAGCTATATCTCTTGAAGGACACAGGTTCTCATTGCTGAAAGTAGATAACTGAGCCCAATTAGGGAATACATTTTTCTTTATAGATTTGCAATTACTTGCAAATTCCTGACTCTTCCAAGATCAGGTAAGCAACTACTAATCTTTTCCTCTTGTTATGTCTTTACAAGATAACTATGTCTTAAAATATCTCTTTTAACCTTAGGTAAAATAGATGTTCTGGAGAGGGGGCTGATGTTCACAGTAAACACCTTCTTCTCAGAGATCTTGTGATCATGGGAGAGAAACCCAACTAAACTAATCAAAATATTAAATGACAGCTTCTACGTCTTTCCACAGTAATTCTCAGTAAAGAAATAGCTGTTCTATCAAAGACATAGATAGCAAAAAATAGTCAAGGCATATACTGCTGTGCAGAGAAGCAACAAAACTACTGCTTTGAGGGAATGGTAAATTTGTGTTAATGATCTAGGATGCTTGAAAACGTTAGTTCATTGTTTGAAAGAAAGCGGACAAAAGCAACAAGATTTTGGAGGTGGAAGGAACAGGAGTCGCTGAGGTGAGACTTGCTGGTGGAAGTCATTTTTGTAGACTGAGACTCAACAGAACATTTGGTTTGAAGAATATGAGAAGTTTCAACTTAGTGAGGAAGGGAGAAAAGTCAGGTTGTTGGAAAGCCCAAGAGTAACTTTGGACTTGTTTTTGTAATGCTATTCCAGGAAGTACCTTTCTTTTAGTAAGGTGTGTTAATTGCCGCTTGTATAAATTTTTGATTTACGTTGGTTTTAATTTTTTGTTACATTAAAAGTCTTAAAATGTGAAATTTTATCTTTCAGTAATATCTTTTGATTACTTACAGATTCATCTCCTAAAAAGTTATGGGACTCTAAAAGCATTATAACACATTCATTCTTTGAATGTTATACATCTCTAACAGTGGTTAGAGTGGGATGCAGGGTGACAGAGTATCCAGCTTTCTGGTTGGAATCTGAAATGTTCACATTGCAACTTTTTAAAAGACTTGTGTAGGAGCTGAAATGTGGAAATGTTGCTTGTATATTTTTAATTTTTTGAGACGTATATGAGTTGTCAGAGACAAAATTTGTGTTCCTTTTTACAGACCTTGATCAGTAAATTAGTGTGGAAGAGGAATGTGGTTTTCTTTATAAACAATGAGATTTGAGACCTGCTGTATAGCCCATATATGCTATCTCTCCCACATTCCAACCCCCAGAATGATCCTTCTGGCAAGCCACGGTGCATTTGAAACATGTATCTTATACTGAAAGAAAATTACATTTTGAAAAGGTTGCACTTGCTGATATTAAGGAGCATGTGCATTAGCAGCAATATACCTCAACTATCATATCAACTAGTTTCATATTAGTTTCAATGCCAAAATACATGCGGCCGCAAAAACGAGCTGTTAAGCTAAGAACTTTTTGATATATGGTACAAATGAAGTCAGTAATAGTTGATCATTTGAAAAATGCCAGGAGCAATGCTGAACTCAAAATGTAATTTACTTATTATGACTATGTTCTGATAAATGCAGGTAGAGTTGCTGACTTCCAGCAAGTGAATAATGTTTTGCTGGGTTGTGACAATCTGGATGAGGTGAACTTGATCAACTGCCCTCTATGTAAACGCTGATGCATACTGTCAACTATCCTCTTGCTATATTTTTAATAGGGAACCTCTTTGTGCCTAGGTCATCATACTTGCTGTTGGCCCCATTACTGTGTCAAGCCAAACCACAAGCTGAAGTGCCGTCTCCTTCTTGCAGTGCATATGCACACAACATTCAGCGATTCCAGTGGATTGGGGAGCTTGTTCCAGCTTTTGGAATTTCAGGCAGCCAGGTGAAGGTGCTAAGTTCCCCCTCAGAATTCTATGAAACAATGAAGGTAAGTTAATATGCAAAATGGATTGACGTTAGTGCACATGAGTAGTATCACCTTGTGTATAGCATATTTCTAAATTTGATTACAAAAGGATGAGAACATTCTGGTTTTCAATGCTGCCTTTTGCACACTCTTCAATAAACTCATTTTTAGTCCTTCAATTACCTTGGAAAAATGTGTAATAAATTTATATGCACACTACCATCTCGCCATGCCCTTCTCTACATGTGCATATCAAACTGTGATGGTTTTCAGTTTTTAGCGCGTTAGTTGACTGTTAGAATTACCACTTAAGTGGTACTTGTTCATTTTTGTTCAGAGCATCAGAGCATACAACTATGTATAGTTTTCTTCTGACCTAAGTTGGATTCGCTGAAGCAGTGATGTGCGAGAAGTTGGAGAGTTGCGGTAAAGTTGCACTAAATTTTTTAAAGCTGCGTGTGCCAAGTTTTTGAGGAATTCATTGAAATAGTATGGGCATTCTGTTACTGCAGTCCGGAGGCCTGGACTAATGATCAACAGAATTAGTTCACTATGAAGCTTTAATATTCTTATCAAAAACGCCATTTTCTTTTATTCATGCCATTTGGAGGACACTTGGTACCTGGGTACCTGGGATATATACAACACAGTTTTGTTCTAGTACGGTTGACTGTTGGAACTGCCACTTCAGTGGATAGTTTAACAACACCAGATCACTGAGAAGGTCTGCTACCTTCTTCTCAGGCCTATTAGGGCAGAGCCTTGTCCTATATTCTGAGAATTATAAGTAAGACTAATTTAGACAGCAGATATCCTTTGGAAGTTCTGCATAAAAATGCAGTTTTAATTTGTTGGTATCATAATCATATCACTATAATAGAATTATCAGTGGAACTGTGATTGGGGTGCAATGTGTTCTTTCATCTGCATGTTCTGAGGTTCATTCCACATTGACTAAAGAGCTAAGAGCTTCCCACTGCTATCGTTGTAGGTGCCTCAAGTGAAATGGTTTTGGATATTCCCATCCAATTTGGTGCTGAGGTGCATGCTAATGATGCAAAATCACACAGTGGTAGTGTCTGGACCAAAAGTTCTGTGTTCAAATACCACCCGCTGCAGAGGTGTCACAACATGCCTGAATAGTTGACTAAAAAAGATCTATAAAAACATCTAAATTTCAGTAGTGATTTGCAGTTTCACTAAAGGAAGAGGATGGGTGACAGGTGAGAATAACATAAATACCATGTCGGAAGTCTTTTTGGGGCTGATAGAAGTTTAAGATGTGGAGTCATAGAAACTTCACTCTCTATCCAGTAAATTCTGCAGCTAACATTGAGTTAAAAACAAGTTATGGGAAATTTTTATTTAAATACTGACATAACATTGACACATTGCAGAAGAAACATAAGTTTATTATCTTTGGAATTGTTGGAGAAATTTGTTTGGGAAGTTTAAAACCAATTCCATTAATTTGTATTAAATGTGCAAGACTAATTAGACAAAATATTTATGTTAAAAATTGTATTCATATAAGTATATTCATAATCATAATCATTACTCCAATCCAATATAATTAAACAATGTCTTGTAATAAGAACAAAGATTATAATGAGAGGTTGTCCACTTTGTCGTCATGTTGATGCATGAATAGGTTGTATAGACAGTGGGTTATAATCTATGCTAATGGTGAATGAAACTTTAAATATCTCATGTATTCTTTCTGTCTTAATTTTTCCCATACATAATTGTTAACTAAATTGAAATAATGTTCTGTTTCGATTTGTATAAATAGGAGCATATCAAAATGGCTAAGAAGAGAATAGTTATGGCGTCTTTATACCTTGGAACAGGACCTTTGGAGCAGGAGCTGGTGGGTAACATACTGGAGGACCCCAGAAGTTAATTATTGAATGGTATTTTATTTTGTACATTTTATTGGAATTAAACAGTAATTTGGTAATTACAGCACCATTAGACCATATGATGCAAGAGCAAAAGTAGGTTATTTGGCCCATTGAATCTGCTGCACCGTTCAGCAAAAACATGAGCTCCCCTTCCCTGCCTTTTTCCCATAACTCTTGTTTCTCTTATTGATTAAGATTCTGTCTATCTCAGCCTTGAATATACTGAATGACCCAGCCTCGACAGCGCTCAGACGTAAAGAATCCCATTGATTCACCACCCTGTGAAAGAAGAAATACCTCCTCATCTCTGCCCTAATCGGGCGATCCTTACTCTGGGATAATGCTCTCTATCCTAGATTCTACTCGATAGGGAAACAACACCTCAGCGTCTACCATTTCAAGTACACTAACAATCTTTATGTTTCAAAAGGTTCCCTTTCATTCATGGAAACTCCTCTGAGTACAGGCCCAACCTACTCAATCTTTGCTCCCAAGAAAACCCCTCCATGCCTAGGATCACCATAGTGAACTTTCTCTGGACTGACTCCAGTGCCAGTTCATCTTGCCTTAGATAAGGGGCCCAAGACTCTGCACCCGTATTCCATGTGTGGTCTAACCAGCACCTTGTATAGTTTGGCAAGATTCCTTACTTTTATACTCCATTCCCTTTGAAATAAATGTCAATGTTCCAGTTACCTTGCTAATTACTTGTTGAGCTTCTGTGCTAGATTTTTTGTGATTTGTGCTCAGGACTCAATTTGAATAATAGTCAACTCCTCTTCTTCCAGCCAAGGTGCATTAACTCACATTTCTCTGCATTATATTCCATCTGCCAAGTTTTTACCCACTCATGTAACCTATTTGTATCCTTCTGCAGAGTCTTTCAATCATCCACACTATTTGCCTTTCCACCTAGTTTTGTGTCATTCGCAAACTTGGTTGTAATGTATTCACTTCCCTCATCCAAGTCATTAAAATATACTATAAGTAATTGTGGCCTCAGCACTGATCACTGTGGTGCTCCACTGGATACAGGTTACTCTCCTGAAAATGCGTGCCCTATTCCAGCACTCTGGGTAACTAATAGAAGACAATCATCCAACAATATACTATGAATATAATGCTCCTAAAGCCATAGGCTCTTGCATTATTTGGATAAGTACATGAATAGGAAAGGTTTGGAGGGATATGGGCCAGGGGTAGGCAGGTGGGACTAGTTTCGTTTGAGATTATGTTTGGTATGGACTGTTTGGACCAAAAGGTCTGTTTCCGTGCTGTATGATTCAATGACTTTATTAATAGATAAGACAGTGTATAGCTGGAGGAACACAGGCCAGGCAGCATCAGAGGAGCTGGAAAGCTGACGTTTCAGGTTGGGACCCTTCAGAAATCAGATTTCTGAAGAAGGGTCCCGACCCAAAACGTCAGCTTTCTTGCTCCTCTAATGCTGCCTGGCCTGCTGTGTTATCTCTGACTCCAGCATCAGTATTCTTACTATCTCTGAAAAATGACTTTATTAAGTAGCTTTTGAACTCAATGAGTTAGCTGCCGCCCTCTGGGCTGGGGATAGGAGAACAGGGATTGAGGGAGATAGAGTGTGGAAGGGAGAGGAGTGAGTAGGGAAGAGAGGAAAGACAGTCAGCGGAAGAGGTGGTGGAGGTGAAGGACAGCAGAGGCGGTGTTGGGAGGAAGAAGTGGTGGGTCGGTAGAGGGGCAGAAGGCTTTTGACCTCTGTAGTGGTCGGTGGGGTGATACTGCCAGTGGCAACAGCCCTGAGAGCAAGATGAGGGAGATGGGGAGGACTTGCTGCTGAGCTTGGCAGTGGCTGGTGCCCTATGTTTTGTGTCCCTGTCACATGGGATCTTGGACAGTGATGAGGCATGTGGAGGTGTTCAGCCACAAGTTTGAGGGGGACAGATCACTCTAAAATGATGTGATCAGGTAAGGTACTTTAAACAAAGATCATATAAATATTGCAGTGCTCAACAGGATTTCCAGTACTACTAACATAGCAATGTTAAAATGAAATGTTGCTAAAAACTGCGAGATTAAACAAGAACTGTGTAACTCTGCTAAAGCAAAGGATACCTCTATGGATGCCTGTGAATAAAGTATCCTGCTGTCACCTTTTTATTTCTGGGACTTGGAAGGATGTCAGAAGAGGAAGGGAATTACCGACTACATTTGAGTGTATATTCACAAACTACTGGAAATCTGAAATAAAATCAGCAAATGCTGGAAATTCTTCGCAGGTCAGGCAGCACCTGTAGAGAGAGAAATGGTTTTAACTTCAAGTCACGTACAACTTTCTTTGCCTAGAACTGAGCCCTGATGTTTGCTGAACCACTTCTGGTTTGGATAAATTTCAGGTACAGGACACACTAAAGGCCATGACAAAGAAATCAATTGCCGTTGCAAAAGCAGTTCTGGGCAGGATGATTTAAACATTTTGTTGTGTGCAATATAGATCTCCTGGATTTTTGGACAGTTAGCCAGGTTGCCTAGAAATCTTTGTGTTGGCTTCTTTTCAAAACAATAGCTCAAGCAGGATTTGTGCTTGCTTGCAAAATTTGGGCAATATCTCTATGAATGCAGTGGCTGAACTTTTAAACTGACATTAGCTATTTCTCAACTTCTGCTGAACTGGTCTGTTCATTCTTTTAAGACCATGGAATAGCTGTAGCTGTTGGTAAATTCGTAATTTTTGTAAATTTCAGTTTGACGTCTGTAATTTATTTGCACATTTGGCTTCAGAATAGAAGATTCTAAAATTTAGTATTTTTTTGAAAAAAAAAATTTATGTTTATGTATGACACTGTCCCATTAATAAATACTAATTTCTGCTGGAGCCAATCAAAAATGATTCTACACTCCCAAGGAGCTACATTCTTTTGTTTTTCAAACCTGGAAATTTTCGATTTCAAACCTATCTTCTGCAGAGATGGTTTCTCTAGAGATTCTCCCTCTATCTCAGTGTGGTTGAATCTTCAATCACGTTTTAAATCCTCATGAATGTCACATAGGCATTATATCCAGGTAGAAGTCTTGATTAACTAGTTAGTCTAATTTGAAATTAGTCGAATTTTTTATTGATTTGCAAATCCTGTACTGATTATGTCTGTTCCCTCTGTTCTACTTTGCCAAGTTACTATGATAAACCAACAAAAAATGGAAATTTAAGTCAGTTTTATTGTTGAAATCCAAAAAAAAGTCTTTCTAAATTAGAGTGACAAATAAGTTAGCATATTTAGATTTCTAGGACTGAAAATTGAAGTGGGATTTAAAGTTTTGTCAGTACTAATGGAATTAATATTTCAATTTCAACTAACAAAATATGGTTTGTAACCTTGATTATATCAGGTAGATTGCATTGAAGAAACACTGCAACGATCACGGGACGAAACTCCGATATCTGATCTCAGAGTTTCTGTTCTGCTGGACTGTACAAGAGGGTCTAGAGGTATGTAAATGGGAACAGTTGTTACTATTTAAAAGATTAGATATGCCTCAAATAGTTTGATACAATTAACGTTAAAATAATGCAAATGTGGGTGAATTCATTTTAAGTGAATAATATTAAGTTTTATTGGTGATTAATGTTGTATGTCCAGTTGTCTACTATATGTACTATGCTTGCAATTTTTCTTTGACAAACTTTGCACTCTAATATACAAAATTGTACTTCATCTCCTACTGTGTGTAGACATTTTGAATTTTTAAAACAATGTTCTTTCAAGAGCTGTGGGCATTGCTGGCTACACCAGTGTTTACTGCCCATATCTAATTGTCCTTGCGAAGGTGATGGTGAGCTACATCTTGAACCACTGCATGAAGTTTTGGTACATCCACATAGCTCTTGGGAAAGGAGAAGCAATGAAAGGTTTTATCTGTGATCTGTTAGGGAATCAGAACTACTGAAGCACACAGTTATTTTTATTGTTATTCTTAGTATAAGTTTTCATGAGTTTGGTATTAAGTTAGCACACTGATATTTTTAGATTTCTACTACAGGCTTCCAGTTATGATTTGTTTTTAATTTTCTAATAGCTGATTCCAGGCTCCTTTTTTTAAACAAAAAAACCTGAAAGAGCTGTGGAAGCTGTAAATCAGAAACAAAAACAAAGTTGCTGGAATAGCTCAGCAGGTCTGGCAGCATCTGTAAAGTTAAAAACAGAGTTAATGTTTCAGGTCTGGTGACCCTTCCTCAGAACTGTTCTGAGGAAGAATCACTGGACCCGAAACGTTAACTCTGTTTTTTCCTTCACAGATGCTGTCAGACCTGCTGAGCTATTCCAGCAACTTTGTTTTTGTTCCTTTCTTTTAACTTTGTAGGAATAAGCTAATAGAACTGCAAAAGAGAGTTCTGACCTTTCCCAACAAAGAGTCAAGAGAAAATGCAAATTACTTCCATTTCTTCTTCTCCTGACTACAATCTTATCTGAATACAAATGATCTAAGTAGTGACCTTGGAACATGCTCTGTCCATGTTTTCAGTCGTTCTCAATCTGTAGCATTGGTTGATTAATAGGGGAGAATATATAGGTTGGACTTGTCTCTTCTAAGGCACTAATTCAAAATCTACAAAATATGTTTCAAATGCAAAGTTTTGTCTACCTTTATTCCATTTACAGTTTATTAAATCCTCTCCATTAAGCATTTTGACAGGTTCTTTTTAAACAGAGTTACTCATCCTTCTAGGAATAATTGTGTTGTGTTATTCCCTATAGGCAAGAAGAATTCTCGAACTATGCTGATTCCATTGTTAAAGAAATTTCCAAATCAAGTGCGTGTTTCTTTGTATCACACTCCAGATCTCAGAGGTATTCTTAAATTCCTTCTTCCAGAGAGGTTCAATGAGATAATTGGACTGCAACACATCAAAATCTACCTCTTCGATAACAATGTCATTGTTAGTGGGTGAGTACGAAAATAAAACATTGAACTTATAAATGTATTGACCCTGACTTTGCAGCAGGCAGAGGTTTCGGTAGAAGGTAACACAAACAGTGAATCAGGGATTCCTGGAGACGTAGAGAATTTTAATAAGAGGTGTTCTGTCACTTTTTCTTCTTCGGTTTCCTGCCAACAGCTGGACTGTTGCCAGCCAGCAAATTTATGAGTTCATAATTTATGTTCGTGGGGGTTCATGTGATGGTGATGGTGTTGGTGTTAGGAACTGGAGGCCAGTTTAGACGGATTAGGGATGTAGGGCAGTTGGCAGATTGGTGACCAGGCGGTTCAGGGTAAAAGGTAATGAGGAAGCGAAGTGAAATCAGCTAATTGTGGCATTGAGATGAATTTGTGATTAACAAGGGATCGTTTGAGGACTTGAGTGGTAAAATAAAATTACTCTTGGCTCCCAAGCAGTGCTCTTAAAAATTACTTACTATCTGCAGCCAGCTGGACTGTATTTCTAGTTGCCAAGTTTTGTGATTCCTGGGAAATCTGTCTCGCAACTGCACTGTAAAAACCTGGCTTAAACATTACAGTCAGTGTCCCAGTTTTTCCTGATGGGACACAGGCACGAGTAAAAACCTAGAGTAAAATTTGCAGCAGCAGGTTGTGTTTCCCAATTTATTTTTCACTTTTTAACCCCTTGTGGCTCCATTCTGCATATTGTAAGCTGAGTACTAAATATAAACTACATGAAATTCTTAAATTCCACAGATGATCATGACCATAATTCAATTATTACAGATGTGATTTACTGGCTGACTGTCAGTTTTACATGATTCATGTACATGAACAATGCATAAGGACATGGCGGGATCAGCACCAGGCATACCTAAAAATGAGATGTCAGCCTGTTGAATCTGTAACACAGGACTCCCTACATGTCAAACAATGGAAGAAGCATTCAGTTGATGTGGTTAAGCGATCCCATGTACAGCAGATCATGTCTAAGCTTTGCAGTCATGACACATCCAATTGTGTTTCAGGGGGTACAATTAAACAATTAAAAGGCAGTGAAATGTCTACAGACATCTCCATTCACATCAGTGGAGTTCCCAACACATCAGTACTAAAGATAAGACAGATGTGTTTGCATCCATCTTTAGCCAGAAATACTGAATGTGTGATACATCTTAGCCTCCACCTGACATCCCAAGTATTATAGATGCCAGTCTTCAGCCATTTCCGTCATCCAACATGATATCTGCTGAAAAGCATAGGATGTTACAATGTCCGTGGGCTCTGACAACATTCTAGCAGTAGTACTGACAAATTAACTTTGCTCCAAGCCAAGTTGTTGCAGTACACCATTCAACGCACTAATATCGGCATCTGCCGGATAACGTGGAAAGTTACCAGGTATGTCCTGTACACATAAAGCAGGTTTATATTTTTTATCATTCATTCATTCATTCATGGGATGTGGTGCTGCTGGTTGGGCCAGCATTTATTTCCCGTCCCTGGTCACCCTTGACAAAATGCTGCGTTGTTGACCAGCTGCAGTCTCTTTGTTGTAGTTAACCCTACACTACCACTGAGGAAGGAGTTTCATGATTTTGACCCAGTGTATGAAGGGATGATGATATATTTTCAGCTCAGGATGATGAGTGATCTGGTGGAGAGCTTGTAGGTGGTGATATTCCCATGTGTGTCGCTGCTGGTCCTCCTAGACAGTATTGGTTGTGGGTTTGAAAGGTTGTTTTGTTGAATTTCCGCAGGGTATTTTGTAGATGGTCCACCCTGCTGCTGTTGAGAGTCTATGATAGAGGGATTGATTGCTTGTGGATGTGACGCCTGTCAAGTAAACTGCTTTGTCTTGAATTGTGTCAAGCTTCTTGAGGATTGTTGGGGCTGTACTCATCCAGACATTCCAATCAAACATCACCTTATCCCTTGAGATTGTGAATAGGCTTTGGGGAGTCAGGAGGTAGGTTACTCACTGCAGGATAGCTAGCCTCTCTGATCTCCTTTTGTGGCCATTGTGTTTCTGTGGCTAGTCTATTCAATTTCTGGCTAATCCCCAGGATGTTGACAGCAGCAGGATGCTAAATGCCGGTGAATGTCATGGTTAGATTCTTTCTTGTAGGAAATGGTCTTTGCTTGTCACTAGTGAGGCGTGAATGTTATGTGCCAATTTTCAGCCAAAACCTGGAAATTGTCCAGGTATTGCTGCATTTGTGTTTTGACTGCTTTAGTTTCCAACCTATAATTTACACTTAGTCATCAGCAAAGTGAATGAAGGGATTGTTGACAGAACTATCAAGCTGCACATATTCAGTACGTGCTTACTTACACTCTTATTTATTGTTAGCATTGAGAATTTTACCAATCTTTGTGCCACAAGTATGTGGAAACCTTCTTCACTTCCAAAGTGTTAGTCTGTGCAATTATGACACTACTTATTGGTAGATTTTGTGGTCAACTGCAAATGAATACCGAAAGTTTTTACTTACACTTGCGTTCAGACTTTGTGTGTGCTTTTGCACTGGAGTCTCCAGCTAAGAGAATCAGAAGCAGTGTGTTTGCAAGATGGTTCCTCACCACTGCTCATCGTGTTGTATCAGCTGTTTGCTAGATTTGCAGTTATCATATTATTTTCTGGAATAGATCAACACACTTACCTGGTCTAGTGTAGTAGAGAAAAGCCACTTGGTAGTCTAATGAGAAAAGGCTGTTGCCTTAATAAAGATGTACCTCATTATACACAAACATACAGATTAGATGCAGGAGTACGCTACTGAAAATACCCTCTCAGGATCTCATGTTTTATTCAAGTTGCTTGTTACTCTTCTAAAACTCTTGTGGATACAAGCCCAGCCTATCTAACCTTGCCTCAAAAGACAATCAGAAGTTTTCTGCTTTCTGCCTCCCTTTTTGAATAAAGGAGTTCATTTGCTGCCTTCAAATATTTAGATGTGATTTAGATAGATAAAGACAGAATATAAGGAAAATAACTCTCCATAATTAAAGTCTAAAAGAATTAGGATCCACTTAATGTAAAAGTTCCAGAGAGATTGTTTGGAAATAATTAAAACTTCTCACACTGTTAAAATTTAATTTATTTTTCAATATACAAACATCAGCTTTTGCACTTGTTTACTTAGCATTTATCATATATGTACCCTACTCATGCTGCAGCATGTATTTGCATGTTTGAATTTTTAATGTTACATTTTTCCAGGGAAGCTTCTAGAAGAATAGAGGATCTTGAATAGCAATGTTCTGACTTCCTCAGGTGGCAGAAATTGTCATTCGATTTTTGCAAATAATGGTGAACACTTGTCATCTGTTATTACTATCTCAAAAACCTCCCACTTATTCAGTGACATCTTGAACCAGTGTGGGCAATGATAAAATGCTATGTCAAGGTGTGTGCAGCTTTGTAATGTTCACAAAGTATGTTTGCAGTTGCCTGGTACAGTGTTTTGAAGATGCTAACACTTGGGAGCTGAAAAAGTATTGCAAACTTCAGGCCTTGATTCAAATAACAAATTTGACTTTTTGATCTCTGTAGAGCAAATCTGAGTGATTCCTACTTTACAAATCGACAGGACCGTTATGTTTTACTCCAAGACTGCCATGAAATAGCAGATTTCTTTGAAGATCTAGTCAATGCAGTCAGTGATATTTCACTTCAGTTACAGCAGAATGATACCGCTGATGTGAAACCAGGAATGATCCACCCATTCACAGGTAGAGTACATTCGTTTATCTAAAAACCAACTTGGTCTGACTTGGAGCCTCTACACTCTGAATATTGTTAGGTTTCAAAGCATGCATGTGAAAAAATTGGTATGTTTCTGAAGATGAATGTCACCAAGAGATATGAGGGTGTGTGTTAGAAAAGTTGATGATCTTCCTTCATTGTCTGCAAACACCGAGTTACATGAAGAATCCTGTAACCAGAAATTGCTGTAGATTCTATCCATGAGTTAATAAAATTGAACTAATTCAGTGAACGAAATTCTGTTTATGTATCAAACTGAATAATTTATTGAAAATGTAATGATCAATTTGACTGAATTTGATGGATGTCAGATTTAATTTTTCCACTGCAGATATTTTGTTACAGGTTAAACCTCATCTGTTGAATACTCTGATTATTATCTATACTTGTTAATATGAATTTCACGTGAAATTAGAGCACCTACTTAGTGCTATCTGCAATTCCTTTTTAAAAACTACTCATCTTATTTCTCCTGCAACCATTCTCCTTGCATCAGATTTTTTAGATTACATTTTCTCAATGCATAGACTCCTTTTCTCCCTGAATGACGTGAATGAGTTATTGCATCTTCACCTTCCTTGAAGCCTTTTGGGCTTCAAAGATTTCAACTCTTTCAATCCGTCAATCTAGGCCCAGTTTGTCCCAGTCTTCATACCATTCAGCTGCTGCCTCTTGATAGTCCAATGTTGATCCCTCATTTATCAATATTTGTCAACTTATGAGCTCAAATACAATTGCAGTAACTCTTTATTTGCTCCAGTTTTCATTCTTGATTTTTTAAAATTCCTAAACTTGAAATATGCTAATGTTCAAATGGAATTCCTGTAGACTACATTACAACAATTAGTTTTACTGTCAATTTTTTTTCCTCTAAACTCAAATTGGTCAAAACTTCCATATTCTTTAAATATCTGGAGTGGTTCCTTTAATACTTGTTAGTATTGAGCACAAGAAAACAATTGCCATGTAATGGATGATCCGTTCCAACCTCTGACCTTTGAACCACCCATCAACATGACTTTCCATCAACTTTCAGGGATGTTTTATCACTATGGTTTTTGGTTTTCTTAATTTAAAAAGATTGTGTTTCCTGCCTAGTTTTCTCAATTTAAAAACTTGCTGTGGGGTAGCAGGGTTAGGGGTTAGGGTTGTAATAATTGTAAGGAGCGCTAGGTGATAGAAGGGTAAAAGGATGAGGGAAGCAGTCAGTTAATGGGGAGGAGAAATGTGATGGGGATAGGATGATGAAGAATGAGGAGTTCCCTTTACTCTTGCTCCAATGTATCAACATAAAATTTCAAAAAGACCTCTGCTGTGGGCACAGGCTGCCCAGATATCACAGCTGTCAGTACACTAGCATCAGTTGACATCAAGTGGTCACTCAGGAGCTCATTGTCAGAACAGAAGTAGCTGAGTGAGGGGGTGGGGATGAAGAATTTTCTCGTTATGATGACTGTCTTGAAGACAGACTCTCAGTCAGAAGGCAAAATATCTCACAGACAATTGGTTTGTTACCTCAAGTTGAAAATGAAAAAGTGAGAATAGTGTTTGAATATTAATTTCATAAAAGTAACTAGATTTAAAATTAAATATACAACTTACATTTTTAAGAAATCTACCTTATACTTGTGAAGACTGCCAGGGCTGAAGTCAGTTGACAAAATCTGAGTCCGCTCCACTGTGGCACCAAGTGATAATGGCAAATAGGTTCTCGGAAACTCTTCTTAACACTGCACCCTAATTCATTTAGATGTTAAATTGTTGGGACTTAACACTGGAAACCTGTATCACAGTGGCAATTCTCGGATTAGCATTTTTCAAAGACCATCCCGGAAATTTGTCAAATATGGTGGATATTGGAGATTTTGGGTATTTAATGCTTTGTCTCACTTTCCAGGTTTTGTAAATTATAAATGTTTAGGAGAAATCTTGTGGTGCCTTGAGTGATCCACTACATACAATATACAATACAATATCCTTTTATTGTCATGTGTACTCCATTGTAGGAGTACAGTGAAAAACGTTTACAATGTCTGCCTTCTTATGGTGACATCTTAACTACATGTACCTAGGTACAATTCTTGGATACAGCAGAGGAATAAAAGTAGTTGCTTAATTACAGAGTTGAAAATAAGTTTAAGAAAAGGAGAATATTAAGGGGTTAACTTTACAGTGTTCTAAAGTAAGGATTGTTCCCTCATACTGGTCTCCATCCAGGACTCGCTGCCTGCACGCCGCTCCGGGGCTGTTTCACACATGTTGCTGCGGGACTTCTTCCCCGTGCTGCTCCGGGCTCATCGCTTGCGGTCTGCTCCGGGCTCACGGCCCGCATGCTGATCCGGGCTCACAGCCCACGCGCTGATCTGGGCTCACAGCTCGCGCGCTGCTCCGGGCTCACTGTGTTCTGGGGCTCACAGGGCGTTCCCCAGAGCAGAAGGTCACGCTGCCTGTGCTGGTTCAGCTGCGGGACTCGGCCCATGCTCTCTTATGTCTGTAACCTGGCCTGTGCCCACTCCGGTTCACTACGGTACTTGGCCCACTTGCTGTGGTCTGCTGTGGGACTTGGCCTGTGCTCTGCCCTGTCTGCTGCAGGACTCGGCCCATGCCCTCTCTGATCCATCGTGGGACTTGGCCCACACGTTGCGGTCCGCCGCGGAACCTGGCCTGTGTCCTCTCCCATCTGCCGTGGGACCTGGCCGGTGCCTGTTCGGGTCCTCCGCGGGACTCGGCCCGCACGCTCTGGTCCGCCACAAGACTCGGCCCTCTCGCTGCTCAACTCAGCTCTCGGGGGGGGGGGGGGGGGGGGGGGGGGGGGATGGGGGGGGGGGGGAGAAAGGGAAAATCACAAGAGGAGAGAGGGAAAAAGGAAGGGAAAAAGGTATAGGGACTGGTGAGCAGAGGAGCTCTGAGCAGCTCTGACTGGAGCATCCTTCTCTGCTGCCATCTTGAATCCTGCTTTTATTTTGTTGTAGAAATCTTTGCCTTCACTTTGCTAGGTTGATTATATAACTTGAGACAAATGATTAGTTTTTCTATACATTTCAAGTTTTGCTTGGTTATTAGGGAATGACAGCATTTCTGTGACTTTTCTAGTTAGTTGTGGGACAAAAACAGGCTAAATTGTGATACGTAAATAATTTGTTTGAAGAAGAGTTTCTGGCAATTGTTTCTCGAAAAATACTTCACTTAAGCAAAGCTGCCTAGTAAATTAAACTGTCACTTCAAATACAGGAAAGTGGATTTTCTTGGTATTGATTTGTGAATAATCGTAATGTCTTAGTCATAGGGCTATTGCCAGAACATTTAAGAACTGATCATTGCCATCCATTGACTACTAGCTGAACACATTATCCTCACTAATGTTGACTATAGGGACTTTGTTGGAATTGAGTATTGCCACATGGGCATCAATCCTGAGACATGCATTCTTGCAATTTATGTTCCAAAGGCCTTGTTTTAACAGGAGCTGAATGATCCCTTTACATAAATGAGCACTAATGGTTTAGCTGTGGGGCCAGACTGTATTATGAATGTGATTTCCTGCACTCATATGACCTTAATTTCTGTTAAATTACTGTAAATGAAAATTACCTCATTGCCTAAAATTGGCACTAAATTTCGCATGTGATTCTGAATCAATTGCCATTCACAGAAGATAGTTCCAAACTTTAACCATGCTCTGTATGTGGAAGTATTCCCACAGTTTCACTCTTCATAAAGCTTGGCTATAATTTTTAAGCTATGCCTCAGTCCTGGATGGACCAACCAAAGTAAATAGTTACTCCAAATCTACCGCAGGTGTGATTGAAGTAGAAAGCCATATACTATTACAGTTACACATTGTGGACCTGTTATAGATATAGTTTTGGATTCAGTAATGTTGGCTATTCCTTTATTGTCCCCATTCCTTTTAGTTCAGTTGTTCTCTTAAATGATCTATGTTGTGGAGGTGCTCGTGTTGGACTGGGGTGGACAAGGTCAAAAGTTACATGACACCAGGTTATGGTCCATCAGGTTAATTTGAAAACAGTAGCTTTCAGAGTGTTGCTCCTTCGTTGGATGTAGGACCAACACGCCTAAAACTAGCGTTTTCAAATAAACCTGTTGGACCATAACTTGGTGTCCTGTGATTTTTGACCTTGTACGGTCTAGTATCTAGTTATATGATGATGAAACTTACTAAGAGTGATGTGTGCTTGTTAAATGACTTAAATACCATGATCTTTGCACTTAACCTCCAGTAACCTTTGCCTCAATTTTAGAAAGTCTGTTTTCACTGAGCCTCGCTGGAGTACTGCAGCAGGCCCAAGACAGAAACATTGGCCCGGGAGCACGATGGCATATTGAAATGGCAGGCAACTGACAGCTCAGGGTCATATTTACTGAGAGAATATAGGTGTTCCACAAAGCAGTTGCCCAGTTCGTGTTTTGTTTCCCCATGTTGTGAGCAGCGAAAACAGATGACTAGATTGAATAACGTGCAGGTAAACTGTTGCTTAGCCTGCAAAGTGTGTCTGGGACCTTGGATTGTGAGGAGGGAGAAAGAAAGTAAACAGGCAGGTGTTCTGCAGGTGCACGGGAAGGCATGTGGGGAGGAGTTGGGTGTGGAGGAGGAGTGCACCAGGCTGTCCCAGAGGGTGTTGTCCAGGAGGGAACTGACCCTGTGCACGGCTGACAAGGTAGGGGACGGGAATATGTGTCTGGTATTGGCACCCCAATAGAAGTGGTGGAAATGGCTGCTTGTGGCCCTTTGGATGCAGAGACTGGCTGGGTAGAAAGTGAGGACCAGGGTGACCCTGTTGTTGTGGGAGGGAAGAGAACGGTGAGGACAGGGAAAAGGTTTGGAAATGGCTGAGGGCCCTGTTAACCACAGTGCTGGGAATCCTTGTTTGAGCCAAAAATTAAACATTTCTGATCCCCCACCTCCCTGCAAGGTGGCATCAACAGAACAGAATAATGCATTATCCTTTCTTATTGTTGTGGATCACATCTACAACAGTTGACTTATCTGTCTTGACTATACCCAACCCTCCTCACCACCAAGTTGGAAAGTTTGATTCTAACTGCTGTAAACTCACTAACTTACAATGGAAATCTAATATAACCTGGATTTTGTGATCGCGGTCCGATGCGGCCCGGGTGTTGTGATCGCCGTCTGATACGGCCCGGGCGTTGAGGTGCCGGTCCGATGCGGCCCGGGCGTTGAGGTGCCGGTCCGATGCGGCTCACGTGAGGCTGTAGCTGAGCTGCCAAGGCTGGGATCCTTGCATTTTTCCCAGCCCTGAGAGAAACCATTAGGTTAAAAGAGGCCTGCACTCCCCAGTCCATAGCTTCCCCAGTCCAACCCCTTCCATAGCTCAGGTTGAGAAATGTGAACTCCCCCTCCACCCCAGCCACCACCCAGACCAGCAATCCCCTGACCTCCTCGCAACAATGTTCAACTTCTCCCTTCTCTCACTGTGCATTGCTTACCTGAACAGCCATTATACTCAACTGAAAACTCTGTTTCTCATTCTCAGATGCTTTCAGACCTGCTGAGCTTCTCCCGCATTCTGTTTTTGTTCAAGACATAGTCATGTTTTCCACTAGTTATCAGAAAATATTCCAGAATGGTGAACAACATTTGTTACACCTTGTTTTTCACTCAGAAGTTTGGCCACTTTTAATCATTCCAGAGACTTTGACATTCTTGGCAATGCTAGAATTCATTACCCATTACTAATTGCCCTTGAAACAGTGATGGTGAGCCATTCTTTAAGGCCTCTGTAGTCCATATGGTGAAACTAACCCACAGTGAATGGTTATTCAATCCTTGAAAATAATTTAATTTCTCACTCATACCATTTTTTAATACAGAATTGAATTTGAATTCTAATCCTCTAATTTCTAGTTAATTCTAATTTGATATTATTCAAATGTCTGTTTTATTAAACTAAGAAATGTGCTGATCACAAAAGCAGTGATATTTTACTGCGATCTTAAAATTGTTTTCCAGGTAGTCGAAAAGATTTCTGTGCAGAAGCAAATAAAAGGATCATGGCTGTGGTAAATGAAGCAAGAAGCAAGCAGCAGCACAGGAACCACATAAAGTGCCTGTCTGATAACAACTCTGAACAGTTGTTCGTACCCAGTGACAATGGTCAAGCTCCAAAATACACAGATACCTGGATCTATCCCATAATACAAATGAAGCCATTTGAAATTAGGATAGACGAGCAAGTGACTGAAACATTAATGACTAGAGCTGAGGCGGATTCTAAAATGTGCTTGACTTCAGGGTATTTCAACCTCACTCAAGCATATATGAATCTTATCTTGGGTACCAATGCGGATTATCAGATACTGCTTGCATCACCAGAGGTAAATGGCTTCTTCGGTGCTAAGGGTGTAGCAGGAGCCATTCCTTATGCTTATGTTTACATTGCTAGACAGTTTTGCAGGAGAGTGCACCAGAGTGGGTTGCAAGATAGAATAAGACTACATGAATACTTCAGGAAAGACTGGACTTTTCATGCAAAAGGTGAGTGTTTTTTTTGTAAACATAATACACTTTTTCAAAGCTGGGTTGGTGCTTGTATTGGTTTGCTTTGTCAGCCCTCAGATCTGTCGTATGAAGACATCCTAGATTTTACAGGAATTCATTTCTCAATTGATAGATGTGGGCTCAACTTCCACTCCAGGAATCGAGTATTTAATGTGTGGTCACCAGTTCAGTAAAGTATTGAGGGAGTGCAGCACTAGCATAAGTGTTCTTCAAATGAGTTATTAAATTAGTGACCTTTTCTGGTGATTTTGGAGAAGAGCAGACAATGCTGTCTATCTCAACCATCTTCCTTGCACAGTAAGGACTGCATGAAACAAAATTGTTCGTATATTTCTGCTGTTTTTAGGATGTGGCTGGTACAGAATGTGTGTGTAACTACAGTCATGGAATTCCAAAAATAATCGCCATCTGAAGTGCCTTGAGTCATTTTAACATGTAAACAGCTTCACATTATTCTGAGAAAGTTATTTTAAGTAACAGATTTTGCATGGTAACTGTTTAGGTTAAAGTAATGACAGTCTGATTTACATTTTTACTTGTGCCAGTAGTGTAATGTCATATGTTAGTTGATAGAGAGTGGCCTGTGACCACATTATACATGTCACACCTTAAACATGTAACAGTTTCCATGGTGTGCCTCAGGGATCGGTGTTGGGACCGCAATTATTTACAATTTATATAGGTGACTTGGAGCTGGGGACCACGTGTAGGGTGTCAAAGTTTGCAGATGACACTAAGATGAGTGGCAGAGCAAAGTGTGCAGAGGGCTGTGAAACTTTGCGGAGGAACATAGATACATTGAGTGAGTGGGCAAAGGTCTGGCAGATGGAATACAATGTAAATAAATGTGAAGTCATACATTTTGGTAGGAGTAATAGTAAAAAGGATTATTACTTGAATGGTAAAAAGTTGCAGCATGCTGCTATGCAGAGGGACCTGGGTGTCCTTGTGCATTGAATCACAGAAGGTAGGTCTGCAGGTACAACAAGTAATTAGGAAGGCAAATGGAATTTTGTCCTTCATTGCTAAAGGGATTGAAATAAAAAGCAGAGAGGTTATGTTGCAGCTGTACAAGGTGCTGGTGAGGCCACACCTAGAGTACTGTGTGCAGTTTTGGTCTCCTTACTTGAGAAAGGATGTACTGGCACTTGAGGGGGTGCAAAGGAGGTTCACTAGGTTGATTCCGGAGTTGAGGGGGTTGGCTTATGAGGAGAGTCTGAGTAGATTGGGATTATATTCATTGGAATTTAGAAGATTGAGGGAGGATCTTATAGAAACATATAAAATTGTGAAGGGAATAGATAAGATAGAAGTAGAGAGGATGTTTCCACTAGCAGGTGAAGCTAGGACAAGAGGGCATAGCCTCAAGATTAGAGGGAGCAGATTTAGGACTGAACTGAGAAGGAATTTCTTCACCCAGAGGGTTGTTAATCTATGGAATTCCTTGCCCAGTGAAGTAGTTGACACTACTTCAGTAAACGCTTTTAAAAAAAAGAAGGTAGGTTTTTTTTGAACAATAAAGGAATTAAGGGATACGGTGAGAATGCGGGTAAGTGGATCTGAGTCCACGAAAGGATCAGCCATGATCTTATTGAATGGCGGAGCAGGCTCGAAGGGCCAGACGGCCTACTCCTGCTCCTAGTTCTTGTGTGTTCTTGTGTAACTATACAATTCCTTGTGATCTGATTTCAAGGTGATATTTTTCACAAATGCCCCAAGTGCGACAATCTTTACAGAGATAGACTTGCTCACATGGCAGTAAGAGTCTGGATGCAAAATGCTAAGCTTTTTCATTTCACGGATGGTTTGTGAAAATAGTTTAAAAGTCAAGGCAGATTCCACTACCTATAGCTCAGTGACATTTCTCTAAAAAACATGGCAGTGATGAGTGTGAGGAAGTTTGAGTATGGGTGAGTAAATAAAACATGTGATGTCCCCTCTCTGGCCTGACTTGCTTTTTTTGGAATTGGTTTATTTCTAGACTGTTTCTAAATACTGACCTCCTGTGTTTTTCAGCTTCCAGCTCTGGGCCCTACTGTTAAATTTCATAATCTCCTATTCAGAACTTGGTTGCCTGTATAGATTGTTGTGACTCCACCTAGAGAGAGGGTGTACAAAAATGTTGACTTCCTCCTTCTCATGCTTTGTCATTTGGCTTTTCCTTTGGGATGAGATATTTAAAGAGAACAATGTCTTGTGTCGTTCTAAATGACCAGCAGTTATCCCGGCTAATGCGCCTGGGACAAAACAAGCAACTGTTGTTGTATTAATTCTGAATTCTACAAACTAAAACAAAAATGGAAAATGGTGAAAATACTCAGCAGGTCAGGGAACGTCAGTGGAGAGAGAAAAACAGTGTTAATGCTTTGAGAGTTTTAACTGGTCATCAGAATTGGAAAACATTAAAAATCTAATGAGTTGAATCTGAAAGGGGAAGGAGAGGGTATAAGAACAGAAGGGAAGGCTTGTGATAGTGTGGCGGGTACGAGGGATTAACTGCTTAAAATGTTTTATGGTGCGAGGCTATAGGAGTGGTAATGAACCAAACAAAGAAAGAAGAGATATTATTGAGGAGGTCTGAATGTCAGGAAAACTGATCTGAGCACAAAGTCAAAGACATAAAAGGGAAATGAGAAAATCAAAACCATGACCAAAAATAAACCACAACACAATGGTGGCAGCAGTTATGATCTAAAATTGTTGAATGCAATGTTGAGTCAAGGAGGCTTTTGAAAAGGATTTGAAAAATCAGGTAGTTTCTTAAACTTACAATATTTGGACAAAGTAGCAAACCAAGGATGGAGTGGCAGCAAAGTTGTGCATCAAAATGACAACATGGCCAAGGTTGCGAATTGAATGGTGGTTTTTCACAAAGCATTCCCATAGATAGGATTTTGTCTCCCCATTGTAGACAGTATCTTGTTGCGAGAATGGAATACACGATACTAAATTGAACAAAGTTCAAGGTCGTGAAAGGTATTGAGTTGTCTAAAGAGTAGACCTGGATGTTGTAGAGGAAATGGCCCCTTTGGGATGCTGAAAGCGAAGAAGGGAGGGTGCGATTAGTATTTTATCATTATGGAAATGACGGACATGGTCGGAGGTGATCTGTTAAATATGGAGGCTTATGCATTGGGAGGTGAGGACAAGGAGAAACCTATTGTCATTCTGGGAAGAGGGGAAAAGTGAGAGAAATTTGTGAAAATAAAGTGGACTCATTGGAGGGCCCTGTTTACTATGATGGAGTCGGAGCAGTGGGGGCAATCCACTGTTGAAGGAAAGGATGATTTACTGGAAGCATTGGTATGAAAAGCTACGTTGCACAAAACAATGGAGAAATTAGGAGAAGGGCCTAGAATCCTTACAGATAGAATAAGAGGTCATAGTCTTAGGCTAAGGGGTGGCAGGTTTAAAACAGATGAAGAGGAATTCACTACCCCAGAGTGTGGTGGATGCTGGGGCACTGAATAAATTTAAGGGAGGGAGAGACGGATAGATTCTTAATTAGTAACATGTTAAAGGGTTATTGGGGGGCAGGCAGGAATACTGGTGTTGAGACCGAGATGAGATTAGCATGATCGTATTAAATGGTGGTGCAGGCGCAAGGGGCTGATTTGCCTACTGCTGCTCCTAGCTATTATGTTCTTCTCTGGTTGCCTGTGAGGGTTTGTTGCCAATGTAACTGTGAGAGTCATTGGGTTTATAGTAAATATTCATAGCTTATTCTCAGGCATACATTCAAAGAATTCAAGGAAAGGGAGGTGATGGAGATGTAATTAAGACAAGGGTAGAAAGTGGATCAAAGTCAATTAATTGTTTTCAGTTAGGGCAAAAGCAGGAAACAGCTGCAATGCAGTCATCAGCGTAGCAGGTCAAAAGTTGTGAGATTGACGGCCTGAGTATGACTGAAACAAAGAATGACACACAGATCCCAAAAATAGCTGAAAAAGTTATGATCCGTGTGGGAATAGATAACAGCATGCATTTTGAGGAATTGAGTGGAGTTGAAAGAGAGGTTGTTCAATGTGAGATGGGTGATCAACTAATTGCACCTCCCTTCAAGGAAGATGCACAGATCTCTCAGACAATCCTGATGGAAGATGGAGATATACAGATATTGAAAGCCTGTAGTGCAAGGAAGAGAGTTAGGACCAGTGATGAGTGCGCCAAAAGAGTCTTAAATGCAGGGGCGAGCGATCAGACAAGAGGAGAAACAATCAAGCTGAGATAGATGACATTGGTTAGGTGGATGAAGAATAGGCTGAGATGATGGATGTGCTGAGACAGTGCTGTTTGTGTATTTTGGGAAGTAGGTAGCAGTTTGAGAGGTTGGAATCCTTCAAAGAAGGACCATCAAAGAAAATGAGGTCATTGAGAGTCCTAGAAGAAAGACTTGATGTTCACTGGTGAGATCATGGCCCATTTTGACTTAGGAGAAATATCAGCAAGTTGGGCATTCAGGTTCCTCTGGGTAGAGGTCAGTGCATGAGACAGCAGCAGCTTGCTCAAGCAAGCTAGAAGCTATGAGGGAACAAAATGCAGCAACCTCAGGGATATTGATTATTGTTATTGACAAGAGCAGTGAAATTGTCTATGAACAGGCTTGTACAACTTCAAAAGTGTTCTTTAATATCTGCAGTCTGTGACCTTTCTCCATCTGTGTAAATTTGTTTGTTTTAAATGTAGCCCTTAATCATAAGTCAATTTCAAAATTATTTTTTGCTGAAGAAAAATACTACACACCTGAATGTTTTGTGAGGGATTAAGACCGTGGAGTAACCTTGTTGTGATGTTATGGAACTGAATCACTGGGTATAAATACCATGTGTGGGTGGAGTTACAATACTCCAGAATAATGTCTCAAGAAGATACACTGAAATGGGCGACTCTGTTGGAAACCCATTGAGAATGCATAGACTGTTATTACCTAACGTAACTAAAAGACATAGTTTGCCATGTATAATAGTAATTAGTGT